CTGTTTTGAGGACTGCAGGGGGAACATCTTCAGAGTACTCTAGCCCAGATGTCCCACAGGCAAAGAGCAAGTTCCTTCCTGTTCCACGGAACAGGTTCCACATCTCCGAGATTGAGATTGAAGAGTCAGACTTAACTGGTGTGACAGGACCAAGACCTGTCACCAGACAAAGCAAAGCCAGGCCTGCACACAGAATACACTCAACAGATGATGGCTGCCCTCATCTCCGAGGTTCTCAGAGAGGGTGAAGTTCTCTCTCAAAGCACAGAGCACCAGCTCGAAAACCTGAGCCCAAGTCTGAGGCACCAACCTACTGCATGAGTGGATCAACAATCCTGAGAGTGGGCACATGCCATCCATCCCAGGTCATGCAAAGGGGCTGTGTAAGCCCATGGATATTAGTTAAATAGGGCTGGTATTCCAGCAGGGTACTGCCCCTAGGCCCAGCACAGGCACCATCTTATACAACCCCACAGAACCCCACCCTACACAACCTCCCACAGAAGCTCTGGGAGGTGACCACTAACTAACTAGTCCAGCTGCACTGCCTTTTGACAGATGAGACACTAGAGACCAGCCAGCTGTAGTGACAGACCCAAGAAGGATGCCATGTGGGTGACAGGCCTAGCTGCAGCCCCCACTGTCCACTATTGAGTACACAAAATCCTTGCATCAATTATCCAACCCCTGATCAATGGGCCACCCACACCCAGTGGTAATGGTTAGAGACCTTGAGTTGGGAAACTGAGGTGCAGAGGAATGTCTGAGGCCTAGGCTGTGAGGAGGAGGAAGGGAAGGAAGGCAGGCTGCCCTCAGGGTGGGGCCACCCCAGTTAATAATCCAGTTAATGATTTCTGCTTTGTCCTTATCAGGGAGGACAAAGTCCAAGGGCAACAGCCAATCAGCAGCCTAGCTTGGTGGCTACCCAGTAGCCTCTGCTGCCAGGGCCCCCCCCCCCCAGAGCTGTAACCCTTTGGGAGTTGTCTGGGCAGGTATCCCAGGAGATGCCACTCTACTCAGAGTGGTCTGTCCCCAAATAGTCTTCCTGGCTCTGCCTAGACCTCAAAGGGTATTCTTCTCAGCACCCCTACACTGAGGAAAGGCCCAGAACCAAGGGGCTGGTAACCGACTCTCCTGACCCCTGATATGACCCTAGCCGCTCCCAGAGAGTGGCTTTCCATGACACATCTCCACCGAAGGCTCCTGTTACATATAGATGGATTGATTGATCACAGTCTCCATTGGCAGGGAGCATTTCCTGCTGCCCCGTTTTGTGTGGCTCTGTGATAGGTGTGGGGACATAGGGATGAGTCAGACCCCCTTCTATTATCTCTCCCTCCTACCTGGCTCAGGGCCTGAAGGGTGGGCCCAGACATCGGTTCACTACAGACTGGGACATAAGTCTTGAGTGGGTTTGGGGATGGGTTCCAGGTGGGCCCAGGAGGCTAGCAGATGGTGGGTGGTGTCCACCCTCCTGAGTTACCAGGTAGCCTCCTGCCCTCTGGAGGGGATGCAAGGATGCTGTCACCAACTGGTTGTCCTCCCCACAAAGCCTTGATGGCAGAGGAGAAAGCTGGGAACTAAAGTCAGCCTAGGCTACCCAGCTAGCCTTGTCTCTCAGAGCCTCGGTTTTGGCCCCTGGGAAATGGATTTGTTCTGCCCGCCCCCTCACTCAGCACTCTGCAGCCTGCCTTGTTCATCCCATCAGAGGCCAGGAGTTTGTGTTTGTTGGATGTCTAAAAATGATTGTATTAGAAGCTCCTACTGCAGTCTACTGACTTACTCTAGCAGGAAAACAAGCCAGAGAGGACAATATCAGTCCAGACTCACCCTCGGGTTCAGAAAAGGTGAGACTCAGGCCTCCTCCTCCTGCCCTGGAGGAGGCTCCAGAGGCCAGTATCGCCCCCAAACTCACAGTGTCCCGTTCCAAAACTGATGGAGACCCAATTCCCTTCAATATCCAAACCACCCCTCTGTAAAACTGCTATGGGGGACGCTAGCTGCAGACAACATGAGTCCCTAGCACCATTGCCAGCACCTCCACCCAGAATCTTCTATTCATACTCTAAAGTGTCCCAGAATATGGACAGAAGGCTCACTAGAGCTGAGGGCATCATGGAGACCTCTGCCACTGATTCCTATGTTCCAGGTGATGAAAAGATCTCAGAGAAGTCAAAGGGTCTGCCTAGGGTCACACAGTTCTCAGTGGCCCAGCATAAATCCGCCCTTAGAGGTCTTGGCCAAGTCCTCTGAATGTGGTTCTACTCCATCCCTCACCTGGCTCTAAGAGATCAGGGCCCCCACCAGTCAGGTGAAGAGAAACATACCACCCCCTATACCCAGTTACCTGCTGGGAGCCAATGCATCCTGCCAGGAGGGTCCGCTCTCTACAGGCCGTGTGCCCTCCACTCTGAACCGCTAGTGCCTATCTCCAGGGGATTAACTGGGCAGTCACGGGGACCCAGCTGTACCAGCCTCGAGGGGGACGCTCTGTCCCAGCCTCCCACCAAAGGCCCAAAGCGCCTTAGACCCCAGTCTTACTGCCTTCCCAGAGCAGGGCAGGACATGCTCCTGTGTGCTGAGTTAGTGAGGGTGATGGCAGGAGAAGGGACTCTTCAAGACTGCCCCTCCAGCAAGAGATAGCCTGTCTCCCAGCGCAGAACCCAAACCATGGAGATCTCTGCCCACTATCCAGAAGGAATAACTGAGGCCGCGTGAGAATCTGGCTGAGGACTCAAGGGTCCCATTTGAGTGTGAGTGCACACACAGTTGCCAGGAGCTGAGACTGACACATCCACACCCATGAAACAAGGCTTTACACTTCCTCAGTAGGCCTCGCTCACACTCTGAGCACACCACAGCCCTGTGCTTGCTCCCTCAGGCCCCTTCACCTCCTAATGAGAACCTCCATCTCACCACTCAACCATTCCCTGCCAAGGCCTTCCCCTCTCAGATAGCCTGAGAGAACTTGAACCAGGCGCCCACCCAGTCTGCCCCTATTCCCAGGCTCTGGGAGACTTCTGAAGCCTGGCCCTCCTGAGCAGGCCCCACACCCCGCCTGCTCCCCACTGACATTCTTGAGTCTCCTCTTATCTCTCTGGAGGGAGCAGCACAGTCTCCCTGCCAGGCAACCGCATGGCTAAGCTGTGGCGTCAGCCTCCCACCCCCCCTCCCCAGGCCAGGAGGGAAAGTTTGGCTCAGAAGAGAGGAGCCCTGGCCAATTAGGCCCGCCCCTGTGCCCAGAGCACAGGTGGGGGTAGGGTGGGGGCGGAAGCTTACAGATACCTTCAGGAATCAAAGGGTCCTGGTTCGTGGGTCCTTAGATACCCAACAGGCAGACCTGCAGTCTGTACCTGTGCCCCACAAGGACCACTGACTTCTCCCCTCCCCTGGGGTCTTTACCTCTCATACAGTCTCTTAGCACATCTAACCTGTGCTCTGCACAGTGTGAGGAAGGATGCTCCTGGAACTGAGGGGTGCTGTCTAGCACCCTCAGATGGCCCAGCTCCATCAGTGTTTGATTACTGAATCTAGTCCAAGCCTAGCATTTCGAGACCTCTTAGGACTTGTTCCGCCTAGGTGCTCCCAATCCTGGAGTGAAGATGGCTGAGACTTGGGACTGCCCTCTCCTGGGCTGCTCGGCAAGCAGGAGTGGACAAAAGTCCATTCTGTGGTTCTCCAAGACACAGAAAGAGAAACAGAGATAGGGAAAGGCCTCTTGCCCTGGGGAAATCTCTCCAAAACTAGGCACTGGGCTGTAAATTGGGTCTTGATTCCCATCTGCCAATTCACACTTCCAGCCTGGTATGTCCAGGGCAACAGGTTCTGTTCATGGAAAGCTCTTTCAGTACTTAGAAGCAAGATGTTACCTTAAGGGCTAGCAAAAGGGTAGGACAGGGACTAGGCTCCCTACATAGCGGGGGGGATAGATACAAAAGGGACTCAACTGCCTGACCTCATGCTCCAGTGAGGGTCTGAGAAACCCAGCAGGCTGGGAGATGTCAGCCCGCACCTCCCCTCCCCCTCCCACACCAGTCCCTTCCCTCCTGAACCCAGCTCTCAGGGGGGAGGGGCAGTCCTGGAAGAGGGTCAGGAGTTGCTCAGGAAAGCCCAGGCAGACTAGGAACAGACTCTAAAACCAATGCAGGGGTGAGGAAAAACTATAGCTGGGTGCATAGAAACCACTGGAGACCGGTCTTTTCAGGTCAGGGTGAGGGGGACCAGGTCACTCCTGGTGCGGTGGTGGTGGTGGGGGGAACATAACTCCTGTGTCAGGGACCCAGCCCTGCGGAGCCTAATGGGGCTGGTGGGGTGCCATTTACAGCACCGTGAAGGTCTCCAAGAACGGAAGTAGCTGGTGGCAGAGATGCCAGCTTCAAGGGGGTGCCATCTCTAGGAAAGTGTACTAAAGAGAGGATCCTGCCCCAGGCAGGGAAGCAGTAGGTGTTTAATGGAGAATTTCAGTCTTAGGGGAGGAAGCAACATTGCCCAAGACAGGTGACAATGTCCAAGGCTGTCTCAAGTCCGGGAAGCACAGTCAGGAGGTCCCAACTCCTAAGGGTTAGGCTAGGCTCTGGGGCCCCAGTCTTAAGGGGTATGGAAAGTCCAGGATAGAATGGATTGGAAGCCTGGCATGGATGGAGCAGCAGGGAAGTGGATACAGGATAGATGGAGAAGTGTGCCAAGGATTGGAGTGTCACCAATTAGTGGAACTGAAGAACCCGAAAGGCTCCAAGGAGGGCTTAGCATGGAAGGTAACCCATTCCCAATGAAGCTGAGTGTTGAAGTTCAACGAGCATGGGCAGATACCTCCTGGAGACTACTAATCTCCTTGCCATTCACCTCGCTGTTGCCAGTCTGGAATAGAGTCCCAACCCAAAGGAGGCTTTCTGGGGGTCCTTGCATGGCGGGAACCCCATGGGAGTCCTGTCCTCGGGGAGGTCGGCTGGCATATCCCAGAGCAGGAGGTTGGTCGCCCAGCCTTCCCCGCGGTCTCTCACCTTCGAAGAAGCGCTGCAGCGCTTCGGTCTCGTCCACCACCTCCATGGCCCGCCTGCCCGGCGCGTGCGCTCCGGCCGCAGCCCCGCTACAGCCTGGCCCGGGGGCGCGGCATCGCCGGCGCGGCCCGCGCGACAGTCCCGGCTGGGCTCCCGCTACAGTCCCACCAGGCTCGTCTCACGCTGGCTAACAGCAGCTCTAGCCCGGACTCCGCCTGCCCTGCGCCCCGCCCGCCCGCCGCCCGCCGCCCGCAGCGCCCTCTGGCGGTAGGTCCGAGCCGCGATCTGGGGTAGCAGGACGGCGCGTCACCTGCAGGGAGCGCTCGACGCGTAACCTTCGACTTGAAGTCGCTGGGAACTGATGCAGAGATCAGCCGCTTTTCACTCTCTCCCTGGATGGGTAAAATTTCAGATTATGAATCTAAAGTTTTTCAGAAACATCTCAGAGATGGCTTCTATTCCTTTTGGTACCCACCTTATTCCAGTGAAAGCAATGTGCATACACAAAGGAATGTTTGTAATGGTCTCGACTGGCACAGACCACTCACTCTACAGGTGTGTTACCTCAGGCAAATGGGGCAAGTCTTTACGTTTTTTTGTCCCCAGAGATGAGCTCTCACTATGTCGCTCAGGCTGCTATGGAACTCACTGTCTTCTGCCTCTCGAGTGTTGGGATTAAAGGGGTTCACTACTACACCCAGATGGAAGGAACTATTATAATTTTCATTTACAGATGAGGAAACCAAGGCTTAAAGAGGGCTCTATCTAAGGAAGTGTTTCTATAAAGAACTTTCTGGATTGATGGAAATACTCTTGATGTTGTCATCAGCCACAGTGGCAGTTGAACACCTGACATGTGGCACTAGTGACTGAGCCCCCGGCTTTTCGTTTTGATTTTATTTTAGTTCAAGCTTAATTAGTTATGTAGGATCATGGTGGTATTGGACAGTGCAGGTGGATGAATTCAAGGTGGGTAGGGTGTGAGTATAGAGGATCACATCTGGTGCCCTACTGCCCAACCTGCTGAATAGACACCTGAAGGTTTAATCTGGACTAACACAGGGAAGGAGACCACTCCCTGTCTCCTGCTTTTGCTCTCACCTCTATCTTACTCCACTACACAGCATTTCTCCTGCACGATTCTTCTGCAGTCCTCCCAAATCATTCTTCATAAAGCAAAAGTCAGGCCGGGTGGTGGTGGTCCACGCCTTTAATCCCAGCACTTGGGAAGCAGAAGCAGGCAAATCTCTGTGAGTTTGAGATCAGCCTGGTCTACAGAGTGAGTTCCAGGACAGGCTCCAAAGCCACAGAGAAACCCTGTCCTGAAAAGAAAAGAAAAGAAAAGAAAAGGAAAGGAAAGGAAAGGAAAAAAAAAAAAATAAAGCAGATATCAGACCACACCACACCTTTGATTAAATACCATTGGTTCTCCTTACAGGTCTAACATATCTAACCCTCTCGCCCTGGTTCCTCAGGGCTTGGATTCTCTCTACTTGAGACAATGACCTCAGCTTCAACTACTTCCTCCATTGCTCAGTAAACCATTCTACCAAGACCTCCGGCCATTGCCCAACATGCCAGACCCACATCTGCCCCAGGGACACGGCACATGCTAGTCCATCCATGATGCTTGCTCCCACAAGGCTAGCTCTTTTAATCTACCAGGCCTCAGAATACACATCAGTATTCCTCCAGAGTGGCTCACTCCACCTTAGCCTTCCACACCTTCAGATGGATGCTTCCATGATTCTTCTCATGGAAAGCCTTTGAGGTCATTGCTGTAACTTCCACACCCAAGAACAAACAAACCAACAAAACCCACCCACCCCCAGGCACAGAGTAGGTGCAGAAAGTATAAGTTAAATGAGTGAACAAAGGAATCTAAACTTTGGAGCCCTAGGTTTAGAAGCAGAGGATTCTGGGTTCCCAGAGCCTCAGGAGAGAAGTAGGCACAGCGAGTCAGAACCAGAAAGACCTACCGTATGTGTACTGATGTCGGGGAAAGAAGAAATTGAGGGGTCCCGAAGCATGGGGGTACACACCTGTAATCAAAGCACTGGGGAGGCAGGGGGATTGCAATTGCAAAGCCGATGGGGATTACAAAGTGAGACCCTGTCTCAAAACAACACACACATACACACCAATAACAGCCCAGAAGGGTGGGAGAACTTGTTATCTAATCAAGATATTAACCCAGCCAGCTTAGAACTCTGGACTCTTCCTGGCAGTGGATGCCAGACTAAAGTGGGGAACTAGCCCTGCTTTACAGGTAGTGAGACCCCATGAGCTCTTCTATCACTCATCCTGCCTCCCTCTTTCTCAGTGGCCAACATGGGGGAAGGGCACACAGAGCCTGAGCTCCAGATGTGGCCCAGTCAGCAGGCTTGTGGTGGCCCTCCGAAGAGGGCGTGGGGGAGGGGGTGCCCAGGCCGGCGGGTGCTTCACAATGAGGTTTTGTCCCTCTGGGGGCGGTTCTCAGAGCTGCCTCTCTTAGGTATATAGAGTGGGATTTTGCTGGAGGCCCAGCTGTGGGCACTGACCACAGCTCCCCCTTCCCAGCCGTGGCCCCCACCGAGGGGGGAGGGGGCCACACTGAGCAGCCCATTCTTTTCCAGCTCATGCACCCAGAGGTTTGTCCCCTCTGCAGACTCCCCTAAGACAATTGTTATTCTGCACTCCAGCCCCTCCTCCAGCCAGGGTCAGGCCTGCCTGCTGGCAGACCAAGTGAACACCCAGCCATGCCAGGCAACTTTGAAGGATGAATTTATTTCCTGAGTTTCCTGGGACCACTAGAGAAATAACATCCCATCGAGACTCCAACTACCAAAGATCTTTCCTGAGTACCTCACACATAAATTATTCCATGCCTAAATGCATACTGTCTCAGGGCGGGCTGGTGACTTCAGTGTTGATCTTGTCAGGTCATCAAGGGCTGAGGATGGGTAGACTCACCACATTACAAAAATATGACATCTTTCAAATCCAGGGTAGTCCTGAGCTTAGGCCAAGCAGGGTGCAGGCTGTTTTTAATGTCATGGGAGCTGGTCCAGCCACCTCCCTATTCCACTAGGGTTATAGAAAGAGCAGCCACACACCAGGGCCTCTCATGTCTGGGCTGGGATGAAGTAGGAGGCTTATACACCATGATGAAGTTGGGGTTCAAGCACAGGTGGGCCTACCCCACAGCATGGTGGTGCTGGTGCTGGTAAAGGAGTCTAGGGAGACTTCTGTACCAGACTTTGTCATCTGTGGAGATGGCTGCCATCTGCTATATGGCCCTGAGCAAGCCACAGTACCTCTCTGGCCATCTGCTCTGCTTCTGCTCCCTCAGGACCAGGATCATTTGCAGACTAGTGAGAGGGGAAACCTCTGTGAAGTGAGGGTCCTAAGCTAGGCCAAACCTCTGGAGGTCCTACCTCTGTACCTCTTGTATGACCCAGAGCTGGCCATTTCCTTTGCTGTTCAGAGGTTGTCAGAGGGAGACAGCCTTCCAGGCCAAGAGCCCTAGCTCAAGTGGGGTCATACTGGACTTGCCAGGGCAGTCTGAGTGGGAAAGAGGTGGAGTCAAGGCTTGGCTGGACTAGGGTGTCTATACCAGGCTCTGCAGGCCACAGTGAGACTAGTTGGAGAAACAGCGCCCCCTGCTGTGTGGAAGTTTCAGGGCTTGCTGCTGGCAATTTGTTCAGCACTACCTGTTTACCCTGGGCTCTTCTGCCATTCCCCAGCCTCAGTGCTTTGGATCCAGGCTGGGCTGGGTCCCTGTGGCTGCCCAGGTGTTTACACTCCCCCAGAGTCCCTCAGTGAAGCTTCAATACTTCAATGCTACCTCTCTAGGACTCCCAGTCCTGCCATAGCTCACAGCGCGGGTGGGAGGCAGAGGGTAGATATGTATATTATATTCCAAATGCTGGTTCTACATCTGGGTCAGGGTTACCTACTCTTGAGTATCAGTGCTCTCTGGGATGGAAAGGGGGCAACATGCTCCAAGGGTACTGCGTGGGAGACACAAATCCTTCCCCAGTATATCTTTCATGCACTTGGGATTCAAGAGGACTTCTGCCGGCTTGATATAACTCAGTGCTGCCCTGGGTCTGGGCACTGACATGGCAGGAGGCCAGTGGAAACTCTAGGGCCCTCCCTAATCCAGTGGACCATATCTGTTTTATTTTAAATTTGTATCATGCTTATGTATGTATTTGGAGTGTATGTGAATTGTCATAGTGCATGCATGTGGAAGTCGATTCCTGGGAATCAATCTTAGGTGGCCCAGCTTAGTGACAAGTGCCTTGACCGACCTACTGAGCCATCTTGCTGGCTTAGCACTTACATTTTAACAAAACCACTGGAACTGTATCAACTTTGAGTCACACAGTTCTACCCCACTGGGCTGTTCTTACACACACAGCCCTACGTGCCTTCTGTCTTTGGGGGCACAAAAGGCTTGATCCCATGGGCCCTCGAGTTTGCCCCTCATGCTTTCTGGCTCATCTAGAGAATGGTCTCAGAGGTCCTCATGCCCTCATCCTGCTGTGATCTTGGCAGCATGCCGCCATGCTGCCACCATTGCTACCTGATGAAAGGATGACCACATGAGGCAGAGGTGTGCTTCTACATCCAGTTTATACATAGCTCTATACAATATACAGAAAACTTTATATACAGATATATTTATAGAATAAGCTATATTAATCTGTCTCTTCTTTTTACAGCAATATTAGTGTGGATCTTTCATACATTAAGTACAAAAAAGTCATGGGAAAATGGCACATGGAGTGCGGAGGGTTTATGGGGGCCTGGCTGCTTGCTACTATTTGCATATGGAAGTCCGCCAGATCCCTGGGAGGACAGGCCAGCACGTGGCTGGGGGAGCTTGTGCTGCGGGTCCAGGGGACAGTGTGGGGGTCAATCTGAACTGGGATGAAGGGGGTGGCTCAGACCCCCCAGATGTGGCATGGGGTGATGGGAATGTGCAGCAGGCCCACCTTTCTGGGCTCAGGCAGGGAGGGGGCAGGGAAGGAGTGGGCTGGCCCTGGGTGTCTAGGGCTGAGTCCAAGCCTGCCCCAGCCCCAAGCCTGTAACACAGTATGGCTGCAGCCTTGGAGGTGGGGGTATGTCCCTGATGGCTCAGTCCTGGGCATAGGGGCACACCCTGGAGGGGCCCCCCACACCTACCCTGGCAGAGGAAGCGTTAAAAGGCCAGATCCACAAC